GGATCTGTGGCGGCACCTTTCAGGTCTCCGTAGTCGATGCGCTGCTTGAGCTTCCCCTCCTCCACGATGATGGCGGTGCTGGCGGTCAGCAGCAGCTGCCGGGAGCGGGCCTTGTAGCCCTTCCTGTCGTACTTGGTGACCGGCACTGCGTACTGGGGTCAGAGAGAGAGAGGACACGGGGGTGGTCATCCCGAGCGGCCGGGCGGCTGGACGCGGGCGGCGGCCGGCCGCTCCACTCACCTTCATCTTGTCGCTGCCCAGAGCCTGCAGCGCCTTGGGGTTGATGTCCTCTCCATCTGCTCAGAGGGGGGAAAAGCCACCGGTCAGTTACGGCCACGGGGGGCGGTGGGGGGGGGGGGGGGCGGCGGGCGGGAGCCTTACTGAGCCGCGTGCTCACAAACAGTTTGGGCACGCTCTGAGGGTAGTTGTCCTTCTTGTCTTTGAAGATCTCGCTGGCGATCATCTTCTGCTCCATCTTTTCAAAGCAGACGGACGGCGGTCAGGGGAAAACGGCACGGACACAGCGGGCGGTCGTCCGATAAAACGGTAGGAGGAGGGGGTGGGGGGGGTTCTTACCTGGTGTTTCCACTCGGGGGTGATCTTCTTGCAGTAGCTCCACACCATGTTCTGCATGCACATCTTCCGCAGATTGTCTGACGCCTGAAAACACACAGAGATGACCCAGTGGTGACCCAGTGGTGACCCAGAGGTGACTAGGCTTGTTCCGATATTTGGATCGGATCGGCCACTGATATTTACAAAAAAATGGCCGGCATGAGAAAATGCAGATCCAAACTCCTGACCCATTTTTTAAAAGCCCGATATGTGTTCGAGTCGTGTTTTCCAGCACACCAATTAAAATAATCCATTACTGATGCTGAGTTAATGACTATTTTCTATTCAGGGTGTTGGTGTGCCTTTTTAATACAGTTTACAATATTATTTGCACTTTTTACTGTTCACTGATGCCATTTCCATTTGTTATTTATAGTTTTGTCTATTTTGTGTTTATCCCTGAATAAAGAGGTCAGTGTCTCTTTACCAACCATTGTGTATAATTCAAACTCACCTAATTCAGCTGGCTAGTTGTTATCAGAGTAAATCCCTTTTCAACATGAGTCTGCCAACTAAGTAAGTAGGCATAACTTTAAACTTTAGTACATGCTCTGATAGGCCAGGATCGGTATCGGAAGTGCAAAAAGCTGGATCGGGACATCCCCAGTGGTGACCCAGCACCTCTGGGAAGAAGTCTTTACTGCTGCTCAGTGCTTCAATTTAAGTAAAGTCAAACTGAAAACATCAGGTTTGATTGATAAAAACAACAGCCCACTGGCATATGAAGCCCCTCCCACCTCAGCGAGAGCAGCTGGGGGGGTTGGCCAGCTCTTGTCCAGGACGTTTTTGGGCAGGTTCCTGCGCAGCTTCATGAGGAAGGAGTAGCGCACGTAATCCAGGAAGTACTCGTTCTCCGGACAGCGCTCCTTGTGGCGGTAGATGAAGCCTTTGATGAACCTGAGGACGGGAACAGCACGGGCTTTTAGAGGGTTCAAACCGCTAACCGGCCCCCCGCAGTCCTGCTGCTGTAGGCCTGCTGGGGGGGTCCCAGCATGCACCTCTCCTCTCTCTGGGGGGCTCCCAGCATGCACCTCTCCTCCCTCTGGGGGGCTCCCATGATGCATCTCTCCTCCCTCTATAGGCC